GAAGGATGTCGAGTCGTTCCTCTCTCGTGACTTCGCGACGTCGATTATCCTTGACAAAGGCAAAGCAAGCTTCAAGTCGTAGATCCATTTGATTTATGGTTGATACGGTGATATGATGACCAAGTAGCTATTTTATCAGTCACAAGAGGAAATAGAGTTGCACAGTACCTCAAAGCACCAAAATAGAAAACCTCTATAACCTTATATCCAAAATCGATTTCAGCATAAATTTATGCGGGTTATGTACTCCTAGGGTGAAAATTGACACGCATTCTTCCAGAAAGCGAAGTGTATTTCAAAAGGTATTTACTTTGACGGGATTCAAGTGTTACAGTAACGATGGCGTTGGAATTGGCTATCGATTCCACCTATTTTTAGAGAATTTCATTTTGAATTGCTGTGAGATGTGACAAAATAGGCGTTGGTTGCTGTCGAGTACTGTGAATCGAATGAGCATCACCAAATCGGCAGAGAATCGATCGACCAATCAAATCATAGGATACTGAATTTCATGAACCAATCAAATTCAAACAGATCCATAGCATTCGTCATTTTTGAAAGGACAGTGCAATGCAGAACTCGCAGGACGCCTACTCGCCTGCACACCACTACAACACGCGAAGCTCCCCTCAGGCAGCCGTCCCTAGTCTGTGCAAGTTGCGCGCGGAGATCTTCGTAAAGGAAACCATGTGTGCTCGTGACCACAACGGAAAACGTGTCCTAAATGTCGATTTGTGTTTTTAAGTTGAATTTACTAGTGTATACTAAATACTATATTATTCCACCTGTCCGCCTGTCCGCGATTGCTTGCGATTTGGAGAATCAGCATGAAACTCCAAATTTCGACCAAATCCAAAATAAAATACTACATATTGTGCTTTCGAGTGAAATTTCGTGTTGTGGCGTGGTTTCTCGTTGGAATTTAAATCGATTTGATTGGCTACTTCAGATGAGCTCAAAATTGTTAGCCAATCAAAACCTTCTCAATGAAATTCAACCAATCAGATCGATTGTGGATCGGTTTAGTCGGCGCGATTCGAT